TGACGTGGGCCATGGGCTGCTGATGTTCCTCTTTGCCCTGGCCATGGTGCTGGCCGAGAACCAGCCGGCTGTGAAGTCAGCGCAGAACGAGGTGAGGGGTGGCGGGGGGCTGGGGGTGGGGGGAGAAGCAGGGTGCAGGCACGGCCAGGGCTGGCTCTCACCATACCCACACCCCCAGATCTGGAGGACCTTCTTCGGGGGCCGCTACCTGCTGCTGCTCATGGGCCTGTTCTCCGTCTACACTGGCTTCATCTACAACGAGTGCTTCAGCCGCGCCACGGCCATCTTCCCCTCGGGCTGGAGCGTGGCAGCCATGGCCAACCAGTCCGGCTGGAGGTGAGGCCTGGCCACTCCCCTGCTGCAGTCCTGAGGCCCCTGGGCCCCTGACCGCCCCCTCCCCACTCTTGTCACAGCGATGCCTTCCTGGCCCAGCACCAGATGCTTGCCCTGGACCCCAACGTCACCGGCGTCTTCCTGGGACCCTACCCCTTCGGCATCGACCCTGTGAGTTCTGGCCATCCGTCCGGGGTGGTGTGGGCGGGAGGGTGGGTTGGGGCTCTCCGCTCAGGGTCCCTCAGACCAGGGCCTGCCTGGCAGGGCCCACACTGCAGCCACTTGAAAAGCAGAGAAGTGAGTCCTGATAAGGACAGTGTTCTGTGCCAGGCAGGCACCGTTCTGAGGCCTTGTTGAAATGATTTCGTGTCCAGTCCTTGTGACAACTCCATGGAGTGCATGCCAGTGCACACTCTCCCCATTTCATACATGAGGAAGCTGAGGGTACATGCCCAGAGTTGCCCGGCCAGGAGGAACTGGGGTAGGGGCCCAGGCTGTGCTCTTAACCATGACGCTCTGCTGCCCCTCATCGGGTGGGTGACGGATTGTGCAGGGGGCCCTGGAGGGGCACACGCAGGCCAATGAGAGTGACTCGGGTGGGGAGGCCCCTTCGTGACGCCCCGGCCCTCCTGCTCCCCCAGGTCTGGAGCCTGGCGGTCAACCACCTGAGCTTCCTCAACTCCTTCAAGATGAAGATGTCCGTCATCCTGGGGGTCACCCACATGACCTTCGGGGTGGTCCTGGGAGTCTTCAACCACGTGTGAGGGCCGGGGTCCTGGGGTTGGGGGGCCTGAGCAGGGCCAGAGTGGCCTGGTGACCCGACGCCCCTGCCCCAGGCACTTCGGCCAGTGGCACCGGCTGCTTCTGGAGACCCTCCCCGAGCTGGTCTTCCTGCTGGGGCTGTTCGGCTACCTGGTCTTCCTGGTCATCTACAAGTGGCTGTGCTTCACGGCCGACAGCGCTGCCACGGCCCCCAGCATCCTGATCCACTTCATCAACATGTTCCTCTTCTCGCGCAGCCCCACCAACCGGCCGCTCTTCCGGGGGCAGGTGTGCGGGGCCGGGGCCGCTGGGCTCGAGGTAGAAGGGCCGGTGGGTGGGGTGGCGCGGGGCGGGGCGGGGCCGGGTGGGCCCACCCGCCCCCACGGCGGGGCCCCGCTCCTTGGCGGCAGGCTCCCGGTCTGAAAAGCGGGATGCAGACCTGAGGCCGTGAGACGAGGAGGGAGGTCGGAGGACCAGCAGAGATGGTCCAGCCGAGGGGGTGCTGGAAGCCTGGGGTGCCATCCTCCCAGAACTCCGTGTGGGGCGGCGTCCCTGCTCCGTGAGGGGCCCAGGCGGAGGAGTGGGGGGCAGGCTCCTTGGGCCCCGGGAACCGCGTGGCGCCCTGACTCCCGCCCCTCCCTCGCAGGAGGTGGTGCAGTCCACCCTGGTGGTGCTGGCCCTGGCTACGGTGCCCGTGCTGCTGCTGGGCACTCCGCTGTTCCTGCGCCGGAAGCACCAGCGCCGCCAGTCTCGGAGGCGGCGACTGCTGGTAGGGGCAGGGGAGGCATATGGGCTTGGCGCGGAGGGTCCCGTCCGGGCCGTGAGAGCCCCCCGGGGCCCATGCGTCTGCTGATGCTGCTGCTCCCACCTCCAGGATGAGGACAAGGCCGGGCTTCTGGGCCAGCCCGACGTGTCTGTGGCCAGCCAGAACTCTGATGAGGAGAAGGCCGGATGCCCCGGGGCCCAAGAGGAGGAAGAGGTGGGTGTGGGGACTCCCTGGGTTGCAGGAGGCCAGCGGCCCGGCTTGCCCCTCACTGCTGCCCGTCCCCCCCAGTTTGTCCTGTCCGAGGTGTTCATGCACCAGGCCATCCACACCATCGAGTTCTGCCTCGGCTGCATCTCCAACACGGCCTCCTACCTGCGCCTCTGGGCCCTAAGCCTGGCCCACGCCCGTGAGTCCCGGCGCCTGCCCCCACACATCTCCTCCCGGCACTTCCCAGTGTCCCTGTCTGGAAAGGGGGGTGGGGGGTGGGGTCCCCTGCTGACCCTTGGGGAGGATGGACTTTGGGACGCCGAGGCGGTTCCCACTGCTCCCTCCCTCACCTGCAGAACTGTCGGAGGTCCTGTGGGCCATGGTGATGCGAGTTGGCCTGGGCCTGGGCGGTGAGATGGGCGTGGAGGCCGTGGTGCTGGTCCCCGTCTTTGCCGCCTTCGCCGTGATGACCGTGGCCATCCTGCTGGTGATGGAGGGGCTCTCAGCCTTCCTGCACGCGCTGCGGCTGCACTGGTGAGAGGCCACGGGCTGGTGCGGGCAGCGCGGGGGGTGGGCTGGGGGGCAGGTGTCCTCTCACCAGCTCTCTCTCGTCCCCCAGGGTGGAGTTCCAGAACAAGTTCTACTCGGGCTCCGGCTACAAGCTGAGCCCCTTCACCTTTGCGGTGGAGGATGAGTAACACCCACAACCTGCCCTTACTGCACGGAGCGGGAAACAAATACCAAGGCCGTGGACTTCCCTGGTGGTTCAGCACTTAAGACCTCATGCTTCCAATACAGGGATGGTGCTTCCAATACAGTCCGATCCCTGGTCAGGGATCTATGATCCCAATGCCACATGGTGCGACCGAGTTAAAAAAGTAATAAAGGCAAAGAAGGCCTAGGACCCGTGTCTTGGTCTTGTCTGAGAGGCAGGGCCTGGGAGGCTGGTGTGCAGGAGCCTGGGCTCTCGCTGGGCTGGTCCTTCCTCAGGAGCCTCTTCTGGTTTGAGGGACACCGTCCCAGCCTGTGTCTCTCCGAGGTCTGTCTTTGCAGCTGAAGCTGGTATGGGGTGTGGAGAGGTGGGAAGCACTGATCTAGGATCTGGGGCCTCAAGATGTCACCAGAGGCCCAGAAGCACATCTGCAGGACCCCCAGACTCGGGGAAGCGGGGAGAGGGCAGAACTAGGACAGATGACAGATGTGTCTAGCGCATTTTAGCTCAGGATGACTGTTGTCCCAGGCTGGACCAGGGGGAGTGAGTGAGCTCCCTGTCCTTGGAGGTAGGCAAACTGTAGGATGATGTATCGGATACTCAGGGTGTGGAGGGAGGTGCTTGGCATGAATTGGCCAGATTCTCATGTCCTTATGCTGGCGCTGGCCACTGGCACTCACAAAGCTCTGGAGTGGAGAGCAGCCTGGGGCACTGTGTGACCCGCATTGCACAGGGGGCAGTGCATCACTCCACAGGGGATGGCGGGTCACACCCAAGGCCACCTTCCTGCAGATGTGGGCAGAAGCTGTCCAGGGCACCCCGAGCGTTGCCCAGGGCTCTGAGGGTCAAAAAAGGGCTGAACAGGACCCCACGGCCTGCCTCCCTTCCTGTCCCCAGAGGCCACCATCTTACCCGTTTCCCACCCCCCCACCCTGGTGGGCAATCCTGCCCCCTGGCTGTCCAGCTGCTGGGGGGAAAGTGGCACCCTGTGGGCGTCTCTGACCTGGGTCCTACCGCTGGCTGGGGTGCAGAGCCAGTGCTTCCCCAAGGCCTCGCGCTCTCCCTCCGAGGAGCTGCCAAGTGGTTCTTCCGGCTGCAGGCCCCAGGAACAAAGGCTGCCTTGAAGGCAGAGACGGCCCGGGCACAGCCAGCAGGGAGGAGGCCCCACCACTGTGGCTCCATCTGGCCAGCTGCTGGGAGGAGCCTGTCCCTCTGGAGCCCAGGACTGCCCCGGCTCAGGGCCCCAGGCCGCTGGGCTACAGCCCACAGGCCTGGCAGAGACTTGGCTCCAAGAAAGAGCAGCGTCTGGCTAGGAACAGAGGGCGGCGTGTGTCTCAGGAACTGGACTGAGCCCAGGACTCCGAGCTTCACCTTCCTGGGGAGCAGAGCTGAGCACTCGCAGGTGGGGCAGGTGCCCAGCGCTGAGCGAGGCGTGTTTGGGGGGAGGGAGGTGTGAGCCCGGAGAGAGGCTGGCCGCACGGACAGCTGGCAGCCTGGCTGAGAGCGCTGGGCGCTGTGGGACCAGCACACCCAGGGCTTGGGGTGGGGCACCCCGGGGCTGGAGGTCACCCTCAGGAGACGCAGGGACGGGGTGGGTGGGGGGCCACCTGCACCAGGGACAAGCCTGACCCCTGCTCCGGCGAGCGTGCGGTCTGACCCAGGAGGACACTGAGGAGATGGGAAGCCGGGAATGCTACCTGGGATGAAAGCAGTGAGGAGGGGGCGAGGGTGGGGCTGGGAGGAGAGCTGCCACCCGAGCCGTGACTTCGGAGCTGACCTGACCCCGCGGGTCGCCGCCCGGCAGAGTCCTGGGGTCTAAGGCAGATGGGGCTGGGGCGGAGGGCCTCGTGGGCACAGGCAGCATTGGGGGCTGTGTCCCGAGACCTTGCACAGAGGGCATGGCTTCGAGGGCCCCTCCCGGCCACGCTCCAGACATCTGGAAGGACGGGCGGTGGTCTCCCTCCACCTGCCCGGCCACCCCGCCGTCCCGCCCATCCTGCCGCATCGGGAGCAGCTGCGTCCCCCCACCCCCGAGACTCAGGACACATCCCAGGGTGAGAGCAGAGATAGCCTTTTATACTTTTTATTGTTTGTATGGTACAATCTTTGTGGTAGCAGGAATGTATGCACAAAAAAACAATTCAAATAAGAGTTCAGAGTAAAAAACAAAAGGATTTATCCCAAAGGACATTTAATATACATGGACTTCACAGCTATACTCTATCCATGCCCCAGACTCCACCCACGGGCTGTGGTCTCCCACTGGGATGGCCGCGCGATGACCACATGAGCGGGCAGCAGGCGCGGGCACGCCAAGGCCCCAGCACCGGGGCGGCAGAAGGCTTCCGAGGGCACGGGGCAGGACCAGGCCTGGGGGCCGGGGGCCAGCCCTGCCGGAGCAGCCCCAGCTCCAGGCTGAGCAGGGGGGTGGGAGCTGGGGGCAGAGAGCAGGTGGGGGGACAGGTGTGTCCACGTGGCCCTCGGTGGCCATGGCCTGCCACCCGCCCCGAAGCCAGGGTTAATAAAGCACTTTGTTAGAGGGCACGGGGTAGGGCACATCCAGTTGGGGTGAGATTCACCAGCAGAGGGAAGTTCGGACGACAGGAAGCAGGTAGCCACGTTCCTCCTGGCCCCCGCGCCCCCCGCGCCGTTGGGGGTGGTCAAGCCAAGGAGCATGGTCACAGTGTCACTGCCCCCTCGGGAGCGGGCAGTGTCTGCACGCCCATCACAGGGCCCACTCAGCGCTGTCCGCCAGCACGGCCATTCTCATCGTGTAAAGATCAACATTAACCACAAAAGGCACCTGCGACAGAAACGTCTTCTCTAGATGAGAGGGGTCTGAGATATTGCACTATTGCACTAGTGTACTATAATTCTGCTTCCCAATCTCAGAGTCCTAGTGAGGTTGTAAACGAGATAAGAAATAAATGTTACTCAATTTTAATACAGTCTTTCGTATCATACACATCTGTGTTGGGCGGCGAGACGTCTCAGCCTTCCGGCCGCGGGTACAGTAGTCGGAGCATAGAGGCGCCGCGGGCTCGGCCACCCCCATGCCATCCAGGGAAGCAGGCAGGAAGGCCGCACATGGTCACACCCCGAGCTTCCTCTTCTGGTCAAAGTAGGCATCGAACCTGGCCTGGGCGTACTCCTAGGAGACACAAACAAGAGTGGCCTCACCAAGGGTCCCACCTGTCCCCGGCACAGAGGGAGCCGCTGCAGGCCGTCCATCAGCCGTGCTGCCCCCAGGCCGTCCTCTCCCGCTGGCAGCCCAGCTCCCCGCTGTGGCCTGCTGCGCTGGCCCGGCCCTGCCGACCCAGACAGGAGACGGGATGTCCGTCTATGGACCTGGCGCTGCCACGGTGCACCAACTCATTCATTCCAACACTATGGACACAGGCTGACAGCCCCAACAGGCTCCCCTTCCAAAGCCCAAGGCCCTTGGGCGTCAGCAAGTGTAGCACCAACGTGGAAGACAGGATGCGTATGTGTATGTGCGCCACGTATGTGCTGGGATCACTGCAACACACTTACTAAAAGGAGGGAGTGAGCACACCTGGCCAGCCCCCGTGTCCCCAGTCTGTCCCCCCGTTGGTCCATCAGTGTGGGGACAGTTTCTGAAGGACCACTCCAAATTGAGAAGTCTGCTGTGCCAGCTGCCAAGATGACAGCATCACCTTAAAAAACCTGAACACTGAGGGAGAATTTATAAACCAACACACACTCACTCATCTAAAACGTGCGCTGTTGGCTAAAGCACACAGCCGGCCTACCACCGGCACCGCTGTCACCCTCCGAGTTCTCCAGGGCCTCCGCAGTCAAGCCCTCCAGACTGCAACAGAATGCTTCCACGTGAACGCAATCATCAGACACGGCCCCTCTGGGGTCAGGGACACTTCTGCGCGGCTGGGGAGGGCAGTGTTCGTCCGTCTGGTGTGGAGCAGTTCTCTGTGACACGGCCCCAACGCAGCGTGGTCACACACTTGTCTGATGTTGGGCACATAGGATGCTCCCGGTCTGGGGATATCAGAGCATGTGAATTCAGGTCTTGGTGTTGAAACAGGCTTTCATTTCTCTTGGCTCAGTACCAAAGAGAGGGACTGCTGGGCTGTATGGTTAAATGTGTATTTGACTTTATATAAGAAGCAACTGTTTTCCACACTGATCACCCCCTCTTGCAGTCCCACCCGCAGTGTATGTGACATCACCTTTTTGCCAACATTCAGCATTGTCGGTTTAAATTCTACCCACTGACATGGGTGTGCAGGGCATCTCTCTGGACTTTAACTGGCATTTCTTTCATGACTATATCAGCAGAAGAACAGATGCTTCCTGGTCATTTATCTTCTGCATCGTGTTCAAATCTTCTGTCCTTTCATAAAGTAAGTTGTTTGCTTTCTTGCTGAGTTATGAGTTCTTTAGACATTCTAAACACAAGTCTTTGTCAGATGTAAATTTGCAATATTTTCTCCCAGTCTGTGGCTTGGCTTTTCATTTTAATGATGTCTTTCAAAAAACAAAAAGTTGTAAATTTTGAATCAGTCCAATCTATTGTATCTTTTTTCTTTGATGGTGAGAGCTGTATGTAACCTCCAAAACTCTTTGCCACAGTCATGAAGCTTTTCTCCCATTTCAGCTTTTCCATTTAGGTCTATTATCTGTTTCAAGTCAACTTTTGTGTATGGTACAAGTTCAAAGTTCATTATCTTTTTTCCGTACGGCTTATTCAGTTGTTCCCATGTCATATTTGGAAAATCTAACCCTTCCTGCAATGAACTTTCTTGGCCTTTCTGGGGAATACCAGTTGCCTATGTGTGTAGGAGTCCATTTCTGGGAACTTGATTCTATTCCATCTGATTTATGTATGTCTTTATACCAACACCACATGATCTTAATTATCTTGCTTGGTAAACTGTGAAATCAGGTAGCATGTCTTCCAAACTCTTTTCTACAATTTTGGTGTTTTAGTTATTCCAGGGCCTTTGCACTTTCACGTAAGTTTTAGAATCAGCTTGTCAATGTCTATCAAAAGCCAGTGGGGTTTCGATGGGGTCATGGAGATGCATAGATTGGTTTGGGGAGAATGAGCATTTTAAGTCCTCTAAATCCATACATGTGGTTATTTCTCTATTTATAATTGTCATTGTACAGATCATGCATGTTATTTTAAGTATTTCACATTTTTTATGCCAAACTATTAATTTTTTTTTTTTTACAAATTGTTTCCAGCACATCGGAATGCAGCTGGTTTTTGTATATTGACCTTGTGTCCTATGACCTTGATAAACTCAGTGATTTAAACAGCTTTTCTATCGACTCTTTTCTATTCTTCCATGCACACAATCATGTCGCCTATAAAATAAAGGCAGTTTTCCTTTGTCACCTTCCCGTACTGGCGAGAACTCAGCACACACACCCTGGCCGTGCCCTCCGCTTGGGGCGCAGGTGGGAGGAGCACCCGGCCCTTTCCTGCTGACTGTCGCGGCCCACCGCGGGCTCCCGTGAAGCCCTTCACCTGGCTGAGGGAGTTCTCCCTTACTAGTTTGCTGAGACTTGCTGTTGTGAACAGGTGTTCCAAATGACTGAACTCTGTCAAACACTTTTCCTGTGTTCACTGAGGTGACTGTATGATTCTTCTCCTCTCTTCTGTTAACATGGTGAATTACACTAATGGGTTTTTCAAATGTCGATGGCAGTCTTGCATTTCAGGGATAAATGCCACTTGGTCATACAATAATTATCCTTTTATATATATTGGATTTACTTTTGCCAGTATTTTGGTAACGGCTTTTGGGTGATGTCCATGTAGGGCACTGATGTGTAGTCTTCTTGAAATGTCTAGTTTTGGTGTCAGGGTCATGCTAGTCTCGTCAAATGAGCTGAGAAATGATCCCTCCCCCTTTATTTTCTAAAAGTTTCTGTTAGACTGTTATTTCTTCCTTAAATGTTTGATAATATTCACCAGGACCTGAAGTTTAGTCTACATGTTTTTGATTATCAGTTCAATTTAATAAATACATGGCCATTTATGATGTCAGTTTTGGCCATTTTTATCTTCCAAGAAATTGGCACATTTCAAGCAAGTCGTCAGATCTGCAGACAGAGTTGTTTCTCACTCTTGTACTTTAACATCTACCGACTTTATGAGGATGGCCTCTCTCTGTACCTGGTTTTGGTAATGTCTGCCTTCTCCTTTCTTGCTCAGTATAGCCAGACATTTTAAAATACTTTTGTGGTATCATTGATTTTTTCTCTATTTTTAATATTTTATATTTCAATGATTTCTGCTGTTACCTTTATTCTACTTCTATATACTCTGGGTTTAATTGGTTTTTCACCTTCTAGCTTCTCAAGGTAGAAGCTTATGTTACTAGTTTGAGAACTTTCTTCTTACCCAGAACAAACGTTTAAGCTACAAAACCAAAAGATTTCAAACACTGTTTTAACTGCATCCCACAAATTCTAGGATGTTGTGTTTCCACTCTTGTTCAGTTGCTAAGCCATGTCCTTTAAAACCCCATGGACTGCAGCACTGCCAGGCTTCCCTGTCCTTCACCATCTCCCAGAGTTTGCTCAAATTCATGGCCACTGAGTTGGTGATGCTCTCTAACCATCTCACCCTCTGCTGCCTCCTCCTCTTGTTTTCAACCTTTTCCTGAATCGGGGTCTTTCCCAACGAGTCTGCTCCTCACATCAGGTGGCCAAAGTATGGGAACTCCAGCTGCGGCGTCCGTCCTCCGGTGAACACCGGACTCATCTCCTTGAGGATGGACCGGCTGGATCTCCTTCCTGTCCAAGGGACTCTCGGCACTCTTCTCCAACACCACAGTTCAAAAGACTCAATTCCTTGGTGCTCAGCTCTCTTTATGGTCCAACATGCACGTCTGTACACAACTATTGGAAAAACTATAGCTTTGACTACATGGACCTTTGTCAGCAATGTGATGTCTCTGCTTTTTAAGACACTGTCCAGGTTTGTCAAAGCTTTCCTTCCAAGGAGCAAGTGTCTTCTTTAATTTCATGGGTACAATCACCATCCACAGAGATTTTGGAGCCCAAGAAAACAAAATCTATCACTGCTTCCACTTTTTCCTCTTCTAAAAAAATGGTGATTCCATTATAACTCAATTAAAATGTTTTCTAATTGTCCTTTTAATTTCTCCTTTGACCTAGGGTTTATTTAGAAGTATACAGTTAATTTCCAAAAAGAATTTTCCAGATATTTTTGTGGTGATTGGTGATTTCCAATTAAATTGCACTGTGGTCAGAGAACTTACTCTGCAGCAAATGTGAGGGCTCACAGCCCAGCCCGTGGCCTATCCTGATGAAGGCTCCCCATTCTCTGAAAAGGAAGTGTGTCCCGCAGCCACTGGGGCTCCGCACATGTTCGTTCAGGTCGAGCTGGCTGGGGTGCTGTTCAGATGTCAGACGTCCCTGCGGCAGGGCTCCTGGCTCCACCCGCTATCGCCAGGGGAGCAGCCTACCAGGTGAAGGAGCCCCTCTGTTCTTTCAGCTTTATCAGTTTCTGCTCTATGACTTTCGTTCTGGCCATGCTGTGAGCCACGTGAGATCCCAGTTCCCTGACCAGGGACTGAACCCATGTCCCCTGTGGTGGAAGCACTGAGTCCTAACCACCGCACCACCAGGAAAGCTCCTGCCCTGTGTCTCCTGAAGAAGACAGGGGCACACACACTCAGGACCTCTGTGTCCCACGGGTGAACTGACGCCTGTTCTAGGATGCAACCCCTTTCTCTGTCTTCGGTGGTCCTGTTCTGAAGTCCACTCGGCCTTACAGTAACACCTGGTCATGACTCCAAATCCCCTTTAAAAAACCTGAATGTTCTCTTGTCTATGAGCGTCTGTGCGTTGCCAAAGCTTCTGCCCATCAGCAGAAACCATCCTCACGGTGGACTGAGGACAAAAGGAACCGGCCGTTTCCCACCGCAAGTGCCAAAGCCAGGTGCCGCTGCACTCGGGAGCACTCCTGCCCAGGACACCCCCACCACTCACTATGGAGCGGAGTCAAATGCAGGGTCTGTGCCAAGCACAGTTCTCAGGATAGAATAAAAAGACAGCCTAGTATGCTACAAAACTTGCTGCAAAAAGAGGTCTAATTCATTCAGCTTCCAGTTCTTAGGTCGGGCATTGCAGGCCGGAGGATGGGGTGGGAAGAGATGAATAAACTAAGGCGTGGGAGGCACAGGCCCCTCCCCGTCAGGGGGACTGAGGTCGGGGATGGGTCTCAAGGGGCCGGATTTCTACATCCAACATCCGAATCACAGGACCTGAAGCAGGGAGGTGGGGACTGCGGGCCCGGGAAGGGAGGGCAGCTCCAGAGGCAGACTCCGCACCCGCGACAGGGGCTTCCACTATGCGGCCGGGGGAGCCTGCTGTCCTGGTGTTGGTCACCTGGCACAGGTACACGGAGGGGAACGGGTGACCCTCTGGAAGGAAGAGCCATGTACTGCCAGGTGCTCGTGTACAAGGACGCATTTCCCCTGGGAGTAGAAGAGAAAAACCACCCGCAACACATACCATGTACCCAAATTCAATGGAGGAAATCTTGGCCTGAACGATGGACCAGAGTCCCCAGAAGAAATGGGACGCGAGGGCAAACCTGTAATGACAGAAGCAGGACGTGCAGTGAGACGGTGCCCAGGACGTCACTCCCTGCCCGGTGGGGTGCTCTGACTCGACGGGGTGCAGGGGACGACATACCCCAGCAAGGGTGGCGGGAGCCCTCGGCCAGCCATCCCCGCCCCCAGCCGGCGGCCCTGCAGGGGTGAAGCCCTGACAGCCCGTCCCACGTCGGGCACATGGGCCCATGCGGGGGCCCTGGTGGCCGTGCTGGTGAAACAGGGCTCACACGAGGAATGAAACCCTCTGCACGTAGGTGGGCACCAGTGGCCCCCAGAGCACACCAGCAGTAGGCGGACAGCCCGGGCCCGGGGGACCTGCTGCCGGCCCCGTCCCTCCTGCCCCGGAGGTGGACTGGGGGGAGGTGTGGCCAGGCCCCACCTCTAGGCTGTGCCGTGCCTCTCGCCACCGCGAGCCCATACTCCCCTCCAACAGTGAGGATGAGCTCTCACTCGGGAATGAGCGCTTCGGGGGTTCTGCTGCTCTTGCCCCTGACCCACTGGATCCCTGGCACCACCATTCTGTCTGGGCCTCTCCTCCATAACCCCCTTCCTATTTCCATCCGTTCAGGAACCAGAGAGGGAAGCTCTCTGCTGCAGGAGGAGCTGAGGGGCCACCGCGGTGGCCGCAGCTCACAGAGGAGTGTGGACACTTCTGAGGCCTGCGAGGAGGGGGCTCTGTGCCAAGGGAGGGAGGTCACAGGGACTCCAGCCATCCCTGGTACCACGGAATCTCACGGGAGAGCCCAGAGGCTAGGGGCAACTCGGGCCTCTCCACTAAAGAGATGAGAGAGGGTGAAAACACCGTGCTCTAGACTTCTGTGGAACCTGGGGGTTTCTCAGCCTTGCTTCAAGAGCTGCCGAGGACACAGACGTTTGGTTATTTCCTCATATTACCTGATGGAGCCCCCACTCCAGGAGTATGAGTGACGGGACGGCACGGGCCCTGGGGGCAGGGGCTGGGCAGCGGGGTCTGTGGTGGGGATGACGGTTCGGAACGCCACCCCACGCACTGACCCTGTGCACAGACCCCTCTCCTAACCTGCCGTGTGCTGAGAGCTGAAGGATCCTAACACACTCAGCCACATGGGCCAGAACCAAATGGTCTGGTGTTTTTTTTGGGCAAACTACAAGACTCATAGATGTAGGGTTATGAGGAAGCTCCTAAAATACTCTTATTTGCAAGGAAGCATCCCAAGTTCGCGCCTTGAAGGAAGCTATTGTGACAGATCAACAAAGGAAAAGTTACCTATTGACTTCAAGCAGCATTTCTTCTTCTATAACAGACTTTTCTTCATTGCTGAGGTTTTCAAATTCATTTTGGAATGCAGCCAAGTAATTGGAAATAAAATGGAGCTTTAAAAAAAAGTAATGACATTAGGATCAATGATGGTTAAAAATAGATGATGTCAAAGTTGTCACTCAGTGGACATCTCGCGTGACTCTTTCAGATGTCAGAGAAGCCCACACGCTCCTCTGCCCAGGGGCAGGGATCCAGGGAGCTCACCCACCCCGCTGGGGTGCCGGGGTGACAGAGAACGAAAGGACTCTCCAGGCCGTACTGTCGCCGAGACCACTACTACTTCTGCAGAGGGTTGTTTAGGTAGAGTCGCTCTTCTCCTCTCACCCACACTCCTGTCTCCCACTGTCTGCCCACAAAGCGAGGCCAGCCAACAGCACACCCCCCAGCCTGGATGGCACTCCACGTGGCACAGGCTTGAGGCGCCAGGGCACCCTGACCTTCACCAGTAAATACTCCCTCAGAGCAGGAGCTGGCCCGGGCGCTGAGAAGGGGCCTTTTGCCACCTCTCAGGTGCCTTGACTATCTACACACTCACGTCCGTGCACTAGCAGCGTCTGATTCCAGTCCAGAGGAGACACGGTTTACCCTGATGTTCTACCAGGTGGCACCATGGGTCTGCGTGTGAATTCGGATTTCTCAGAGTCCCTGTGCTTCACTATTTCATACTGTATCAAAAGGTGACAGAACATGGCCAACCACTGCAGTTTGCTTTTGTGAAGAAGAAAACAGCCATCAGTCTTTCTTCCAGGTAGGAACCCCTGCTAACTGGTTACCCGGCTGGAAGTAACCAGTACCTCTCCCTCCCCAACCTGCCTCTCTTTCATCCTCCTGCTCTGAAATCAGCTTCCCACACTCTGCCCTTCCTCCACCGGAAAGCATCCTTCACGTTCTACCACTGTTCCAGGCTGGGGGCCGTGGATTCTGCAGTAAACTTGGTACAAGACACCTATTAAACTCTGTGTGCCAGGTACCAAGCTGAGCATCGTTCCCGCACAGTAACTCACTCCCAAGACACAGTAAGTTCCACAAGATGAGGAAACTGAAGCATGGAAACAGCAGGTCACAACCAGCAGTGGCAGACCTGGGATTCAAATCCAGGCCTGTTAGTTTTTAAAGCCCATTCTGGAACCACCACCCTAGACGGTTGATTTCTGGGAGACTCTAAATGCTGAAGGTAGCAAATGAAGATAGAAAATTTGAAGAGACGGAAACCCTAACAAAGTGGTAATTAGTGGCTCTCCCTCCCAAAAAAGTTCTAGGCCCAGATGGTTTTATGGGCAAAGTCTACCAAACTTTCAAACAGCACCATCTTATGAAAATTTGCTCCAAAAAATAAAAAGGGACACTCATTTTGTAAACTAGCATAATTTTTTATTCCAAAAGCAGGTATGAATAATTTTTTAAATGAACATTAAAGTCCTGTTTCACATACATAAAAACTGCGAAAATAAGAAACTGCCTAACTGGATCCAACCGAGCATCACAAAATAACATAACTCACTCAAATAATTTATTTTAGGAATTCCAGTATCGTTTAACATTTTAAAACACCTCAATGCACTAAAGAGAGAAAAGCATGAGATGACCTCCGGAGATGGCGACAGGGTAGGTGGCCAAGCCGGACACAGCATGTGATTGTTAAAACCTCTCAGAAAACAGAAACGGCACTTCCGTGCCTTTCCACCACTGTGCAGTGAGGATGGCCACACAGCTCTGCCTCCATTAGAATGCAATCCTTCCCTTACTGGTTTCAGAGCTCCCTCTCTGGAGACAGCTGCCCAGTGTCACAGCAGGAACCTGAAGCCTGCTATGTGCTGCCCTCCATGGGCTCACCAGCCTTCCCACCCACAGAGCATGGCCCTGAGGTTCCAAACCATCCTGGCCACTTTGGACATAAGCAAGGTCATCAGGTCAGCCTGAAACATGGCCAGAGGGAAGCGGCCCAGCTCTGGCTGCACAGTGTTTCAATGGCTGCCCCTGAGCATGGGCACCTGCTGGAGACGATGCCTGTGCCCAGCTCAGGCGGGCACTCGAGAAGCCTCTCCTGAGTGAGCTACTGCAGCAACTGACCATCTGTGTCCTCGCCCCCAGCCCCTGGGCAACGCTTTGATCAGGCAGGGCTCCTGGGAGAAGGCTGACCTAAAGCAGGGCTGCCCAGCACGGACAGAGCTGAGGCCCTGCAAGGCTGGGAGAGTTGGGGTGGTGTCCCCTCTGCCCAGCCTGCTTGCTTCCACATCGCAACTTACTCATCCTCAACCCAAGGCTTGGGCCATGGCTTACAAATAGAACAGAGAGCTTCCCGGGAGAAGTCCCACAGGACTGACTCCAGTCACTGGACTCCTCTCATTCAGGACAGAAAAGGGGGCTGTGGGTGCTGCAACAGCTGCTGAGCCAGTGCCCCCAAGACCACCTTTGATTGTGCAGAGTGAAACACAGAGGAAAGTCAGTGACCCCCAAAAGGCCAGAGGGCAGGGCAGAAAAAACTGGAAGGAGTTATCAAGGAGACTGTGATCGTCTCTGACTAGCTACAGGCCACCTCTGGCAAAGGACTTTAAAAAGCTGGACTCCAATACTGTTTGTATCTCAACACAACATTTTAAAGCAAAAGGACCTGCTTAACCAAAACAAGCATCTTTAGAAGTGAAGCTGCAGTCAACTCTAACTGGGTAAACCGACATATGTATGAGTCACTCACTTCTCAGCAAGTGTGCATGCATGAGGCGCCTACCTGTTGCTTCCTGGTAGGGTACTTCAGGATGTTTGCTCTGAAAAAAGGATACTTTTCATAATTATAATCATACATCCATTCACAGAAATGATTCCCAACGTCGAATCCCCTGAAAAATAGTGAGAGGCAGAGAATGAGGCAGCAGGCCTGCCACGAGCCCTCCCCGGACTGCAGGGTCCCGAGAACACGACTACGTCAGCGACAGGCCCGCCAACTGGGCAGCCCCAGCGACCACAGCGCCCAGGCCCACCGTCCGGAGCAACTGCTCGGGAGCCCCCCTGCGGTCAGCGCTCTGAGGAGCCAATGTCAGGCCAAGCTCTGGACTCTCAGGAGCCCGGGGCTGCTCCTCACTAGCTCGACTGAGAACAGGCTAAGTGCCCATCTCCTCCACTGGGACAGAAAGTGCCAGCCCCCAGCGAGGAAACTCGCAGCTCAGGGTGGTACCGTGACCCAAGGTCTCCTTCAACTGTTTCATACACGTATTAAAATGCTCACAGAAATAAAAACATTTGACATTACCTATAGTTGTAACTGCTGTATTCAAAATCGATGAGCATGAGTTTCTGTTTTTCAGAATTCTCCCTGCCATCCAGCAGTAAGATGTTACCTGCAGAAGGGTTTGGATGACATGACGTTTACTCTGGGCATGTTCCGTCACCGAAGATGCAGGTCCTCCAAGAGCTGGGCCAAGAGTGGTTCTGATCCGCTCAAGGCATCCTACACATGAGGCTGCCTTCCCACACCCTGCCCAATCTGACTTGTCCAGCAGTCATCAGCTAATTAGTAAAAGGTATTCTGGCTCAAACTGACATCTCACGGATGACAAGTCTTCACCAGGGGATGTTCTCAAAATTAAAAACAACCTGAAGAGCCTGGAAAGGGCCCAAGGGTGGACCTCAGCCAGCTCTTCTGGGAAGATCAGGATGAGGACAGCACGGCAGAGTCAGGTGCCACGGCAGTGTCGGGGAGGGAAGCCCGCCAGATGGGGCCTCAGAGGAAACTGTTTCGGTTTGAAATGACACTGAGTGAAGTTTGGTTACAGTCAGCAGTACCTGGCATTGCAATTTTTAAAAAAATTTTAATAGTTTTTAAAAACAAATTTATTTCTTTGACTATATTATGTCTTAGCTGCAGCATGCAGGATCTGGCTCTCTGACCAGGGATTGAGCCCGGGCCCCCTGCATCGGGAGTGTGGAGCCTTAGCCACTGGATCATCAGATAAGTCCCTGCAGTTTTTCAAAGAGGAGAAACCCAAGGTCATTAGAAGCACCTGAACCAGCGCTGAGAGAGCAGGGGCTCTGGCCAGTGCAGTACACGCAAGGTGCAGAGGCCTGGGCCCCCGGGCTGGTTGAGGAGGCCACCTTGCTCTTTAATGTTTCTTCACATCAACAAGGTCACACGTTGACCAAAAGGAGTTAAACACTGCACAAATATGTAGCTTTGTCAATTCCAGATCTCGGTTTAGTGGATCCTCTCAGAATTTTTTCTTACGGAAATAGGATGATCTTACATATTTTTCTAAAACTTGCTCTTTCTGCTTCCGGAGGTTTTTCTGTTGGTCTGTATAGAACTCAACCTCATTATTTTAATAGTCACACAACACACATGCATGGCTGGGCCATAAATCCATGTATCTCACCCCCTTCTCATGGGCCCCTGGCGGTTATCACACACACTGGAGCGAACCTTCTAAGCAGACACACAGGGCCCAGGTTCTGCACCACGGGCAGCGTTTCTTACCTTCCTGACAGTCGTTGTGACAGAACACGACGGGAGATGGAGTGGATTCAAGCAATGACCTGGGAGAGGAAGGTTCTGCTGTTACTTTTCAGACCTGCAGCTCCCTCCCCTGGCAGGGCCTCTGAGCACGTGCTCCCTGCCCGGGGGTGGGGGGCCTCCTCCTCGGAGCCCTCTGATCACAGAGCCCAAGCAGAGCCCTGTGTTGGGTCTGTTTGGGCCTCTGGTTTCCTTCATAGCGCTCATCACAACCTGACACTATTTTATTTACTTATCTCCTCTCTCTCCTAACAAAAGAGACGCTCCCTGCAGGATGTCTTGGTCATAATAGCTCGGAGCCATTCCTGATGTCGGTACAGCAGATGCTCAAACTTGTGAGAAATGAAAGATGGAAATACTGACACTCAGCTATGGGTGAGAGTCTAGAACCCTGCACGCCCCACAGCCTAGGGATACCCCTATAGTCTCTACTCAGAAACCTGTGTCAAGCTTCCTGTTCCGTGCCCTCCCAAGCTTGGGCTCAACTGTATCCCTCGTCTACTGACACCCTCCGGCCTGTCCCAAGGGTTCTTGCTTTTTGTTTTTGTTTCAGAAAAAACCTACTGCCCTAGTCACTGACCAGGCCTGGAATTCTGGCATTTTACCTCCTCCGTGAAGCCTTCATGAATGATCAGAGGAAGGTGACGCCGCTCGTGTAAAATTGAGACGGCAGAATTAACCTGTTTAAACTCATCCCACCAACCCCACGTTAAGACACCAGGCCTGAGACGATGCTTGCAGTGTTGCCTGGCAGCAGACGCAGTGACTCAGAGCGTTGCCCTGTCTGGGCAGATGCACTCGCCAAGGCAGGACATGGAAGCAAACGCTCACCTCAGGTTTTCCAGCTCCAGAGGCAGGTTGTAGCTGAGGAACCTGTGCAGCTGCTTCACTTTGGACTCCCCCGTAAATCTAATTCTCAGCACTTGATTCAGGTATCTTGGAAGAGAGGGAAGCAAAGGATCAGTGCTCAGTTCACCGTGACCTCGGCTCGGGGCTCCCACTCAAGAGACCATGCAGGATCTGCAGGGTCCCCGACCCCAGAGTCTAGGAAGTTGATTTTCTGGCCACCCAGCCTGTTCAGGAGCATTTCTGCAAACACTCCTCTTTCATGGCTCAGGAACTGATTTTTACACGCTAGAATGATTCATTCATGAGACCATAAGTGCCAGCAGACAGCCTGTGCGCCGGGGGACTGAGAAAGGCCTCTGACCCTCAGGGCAAACAAGAACCGCTCCGGAGACTCTAGGAGCCCTGGGGAAAGCCACGGGAGAGCCGAGCGCCCGACCACTTACTTTTCCATTGTTCCAAAGAGCCATTTTGGTTCCTTATTGAATGGCATGTTCATACCATGAAATCTGGCCATTTTCTCAGCTATTTCTGCAGAAATATCTGGCAAACTTAATTCTTCAGTGTCTAATCGCCGGCTCTGAAATAAAAGAGGAATGAAAAGATGGCATTTATCCAGGTAAACTTGACATGTGGGGTCACATGACCCTAGACCTAGAGTCTCTTTGGGGGCATCTCAGTCTTGTCCAGGGAACAATTCCTCCTGAAAGGGCACCGTGCCCACAGATAGCACTGCTCAGGGAGGGGCAGGCCACCTGCAAAGGTCCACTTCTTGGAGAGAACGTCCTTCCCACGTACAGTTGTAGCACCCCGGACCTGCCTTCCAGTGGCCCCACCCCATGCTGAAGGGGGCCTCTTCCCCGGGTGCAACACGCTGGGCGCGTCTCCAACAGTTTACGATGGGATTGCATCCAGCTCTGCCGCCAGCTCGGCCCCTCCGCCTGCGCAGCTGGCCCGCGAGGCGCGACACTCAAAGCAGCTGCTGACCGGAAGCGTTTCCCGCTCCTGCCCTCGGGCAGCCTGGCACCCAGCAGCTCCGGGTGGGGACCGTGCCCACGACCCTGACCGGCAGACGTTAAGGCGACACTGACGACGGGCCAGCACAGGGAGAACGGGCGCATGGCCCTGACTCTCGGAACCGGGATCGGAGCCAGGCCTGGCCACGTGAAGGACCCGACAGGCACATGGGGGCAGAGGAGGCTCTACAGTAAAGCAGGCAGCTGGAGACAAGGAGGGGAACAGCAGTGGCCCCGCCCCTGCAGGGCAAAGACATGTGTCAGTGTGGTCAGGACCACCTCCTGCAGTGGTTCTATGACCAGGGCCAGCGAGATGAGACCTGGGTGACCGGGCTTGGTTCCAAGGCAAGCAGCTTTAGAGGGTGATGCAGTGCCAGGTTCCACGAATAGCTGTACCTGGAGATACCAGGATCGGTCCCAGATCACCACGGTCACAGAGATGCCACAACAAAGCAAGTCACATAGATGTTTTCATCTCCCACCATGTACAAAAGCTATGTTTATGCTATACTACAGTGCATTAAGTGGCTATAACATTATGTCAAAGAGTCCCACAGCGACTTAATTAAAAAATATCTTATTGCTCAAAAATGCTAACCATTGTCTGACAGTGCAGGGCCACCACAAACCTTCAATTTGTAAAATACGCAGTATCTGCAGAGCTCAGTTAAACAAGGTCTGGCTGTGTGTTTTGATTTGGATGAATGTATCTTTGCAGGAAAGACAGAGGTTTTGATGCAAACTCGACAGAAACCCTGCTTTTGTTTCCTTCTGTGGTAACAGGCCACACCACTTCAGATCACGGTGCCCGGCGATGACATGGACTGTGCCTTCTCTGTGGGCCTCCCCCAGCCCCGACCAGTGCCCCCGCACTCCTCACCGGGATGAACTGCTCCAGGCGGCCTTGGGGGAAAATGCCGAAGAGCTTCGGCCCCAGCGACCTCTCGGCGAGAATGGCAAACATGACGCTCTCCAGGACCATGGCCTCGGCACCCTGAAACACACGGTGGCATGCAGACAGTTACCGGGTCAGCCACACGCCAGGCGCCAGAAGCCCTTCCACATGAGCCGTCCATCTACTCCCACAGCGACTCTGTGACTGGGCGCTGTGACTACCACTGTTGTTATTAATACGACACTTGTTGTCATCATCACCCCTACTTTAAATATGAAGAAACAGACTGGTAAACTGCAGGATCCATGCTGGCAAGGGCTTCCCAGATGGCTCAGTGGTAAAGAACCCCCCTTGCCAGTGTAGGAGACAAAAGAGATGCAGGTTCAATCCCTGGGTTGGGAAGACTCTCTGGAGTAAGACATGGTAACCCACTCCAGTATTCTTGCCTGGAGAATTCCATGGACTAAGTAGCCTGGTGGGCTATAGTCCAAGGGGTCATAAAGAGTCGGACCCATCTGAATGACTAACACTAGGATGCTGGTAAGCATCACACTCTATTGATGAGAGTCAAAATTCTAGTTGAATTTAGGTCACTGGTTCCAAAAATAGAACAGTATCAATAGTTTACCACTTCAATTTAGTCTCACCCTTGGCATCTCATCAAAGGCCGCACAGTTCACCCGTCCTGGTGAAGGTTAATTTGCTTTTCGGTTGATAGTACCCAGTGAGAGTAAATAGGCAAAGGGCCCTCTGCCCAGGAAGCTATGTCTGGGATTACTGGTTCAGACCTGCTCTGCACTGGAGCATAAAGCAATCAAGGTTTCTGTTTTCTGCTTTTACTCCCAATCCTGTCATTTAACGTTTGTTTGAAAATGAAAGAACACACCAAGTCACAGACGCTGCTACATTCTGCCATTAGTCCTAATAACTAAGTGGGATCTAGAGTCATTCTGCCTTCAAAATCCATCTTTTGTTCTCAATTCAAATCCATTCCTTAGTCCTCTTCCCTTCAGCAGCAAATCATAGCTTAAGTTTCCATCTGTTGGGGTGGACAGGTGGGAAGGAGCCCTACACCCAGCTCTCCGAAGGAGCTTCTGCAGGTGGAGCTTCTAGGTCGACGTGCCAGGAGGGGGGCAGGTGTGGTCTAGGAACACTCAGGGGTGGCCTTGTCACCCCTCGTTCAGAAAGGGGCTGCGTGGACAGGGTCTCAGAGGAACACTGCTCACATAGAACACAGCTTTAAAAAAACAAAAAGGAAAAACTGCTTTCAAAGGATATGGGACACACATTAAGGTAAAAGGTGACCCAGTCACTTCTATATTTGGGGGACTGGGTAATCCATCCACCACCTCGTGTAATCCCCACGACTGTCTGACCATCACCACCTTGTGAGTTATGATATCACCACCTTGCCAGGTCTAACCATCACCACCTTGAGAGGCCCCATCCCACTAACCTGTAGTTCTGTACATGACTGCAATGAACCAAACTGCGTCCTCCCCAAATTCCTAGGTTCGTTCACACCCTCACCCCTAGTGAGATGCTATCTGGAGATGCCTTTGGGAGGTGCTCAGTTTAGATGAGGCTGAGTTTAGATTAGTTTTAGAGGGCGGAGCCCTAATGCGTCAGCATCCTTGTTAAGAGGGGGCTCCAGAGAGCGTGTACCCTCTCCCAGGCCCTCTCTCTCTCTCTCCCTGCCGCGTGAGGGCACAGGCAGAAGACGGCATCTGCAAGCCAGGAAAGGACCATCACCAGAACCCAGCTGAGTGCTGGCACCCTGACCCTGCCCGCCAACCTCCGGAACCATGAACAGTAAACCTGGGGTTTTTTCTGGCAGTCCAAGCAGATGAAGACACCACCATCCAGACACAGCATCGATCTGTCAGGTTCACGGATTTGAGGAGGATTTCTACCAGACAGGTTCTACTCCTTAAACCCTTACAGAATGACAACAAATTCCTAACAGCTCTACTGAACTGGCAGAATGTTTTCTCTCTCTCATCTGACCTCACAGCAAACCTCGGCAGGAGGTATGGTCTGCGTGGGCCTGTTCACCTCAAGTCCAGCCTCAGAGACACCCTGCAAGTGAAATGGAGGCTCGCATCGTGGAAAGGGGGTGCTGGGATCAGGCCCGGAAAAGGCCATCCACAGGCAGTGGCTCCTGGCAGCCCCCTGCCCTCTGTACAACCTCCCGCTTCAAAGATCCAACCCCCTCCCAACTGTTTCCAAGAGCAGGACCAGGGTATCCTCTGTCCTAGGTAGCCAGAATTCTGTGAGAATTAAAGTTAGGTTTTTCAACTTTTTTTGTGTAGAGTAACTAAGCTGGAGGGCACTGGGGACACGTGCACCCAATCAGAAATGGCCCTTTTTGTCTGAAATATCTAGATCTAGACACGGATTTAACCCATGCCATGACTTCAGGAAGTTCAGCGCTTTGCTCGTGGCACCCAGTCCGTGCAGAGAGCGGGAGCTGCCTTCACCCTTGTCGCCGGTGCTCCTGCCCCAGGCTGAGCCCACACTGTCAGCACCCTCCTGAGCAGAGGCAACCAGCGCCAGGACGGCAGAGAAGAGTGAAGAGACTTTGGAGTGTCCCAGTTCTCCTTGGCATTGCTCTGCACACTGTGAACAAGAAATACCTCTGCTTTCTTGTGATGTCATAGGTCAGCATTTATTCACAGCCAGAAGAAGCAGAGGGAAGAGTTTGGAGAGGGAGAAAATGAAAGAACACACCAAGTCCCGGAAAAACAGCAGGTAACCTCGGGTCTCCAAACCTTCAAGGAAAGCGCACCCAGGGAAACATGGGTGTGAGGGCCGTGACTCGATCCGCTGCCCATCACCTGGGCTGGACTCTTGACTGTCCACCCACAGCTGGTCCTGCTTTCTCAGGAGAGAAGGCAATACCTCCACTGCAAACGATTCACGCTGGCTTCAGAAATATACATTTATATACTCCAGCCCCACGGAAACAAGAACTGGACACACGTGGCCACTGCCTGGACGGCGCCTGCCTTCCAGGGACAGAAGCAGCCACAAGTGAGCAGGGCCATCGGCAGACTGGGGCACACGCAGGGAAGGAGCAGAGGGCATCCTGACGGAGTGTGAGGGCGGTGGCCACCCTCAAGGAGAGATGCGGACCCTGGGAGGGGCCAATGTGCGGAGCAGAGGAACCCAGGAGGAAGAGGACGGAACCAGTCCGGAGGAGCCCCCGGGGCTGCCCAGGGGTCTGGGCCAGACAGCCCTCGGCGTCCGGAGAGCATTACATGAACTGGCCCAAGAGGAGGAAGCAGCATGGAGCCTGAGGATGCCCCACCTTTGAAGCAACGCTTTCATACTGTACATGGCAAGCCAGTGTGCGCATGCGCACACACACGTACACACACGCTTGAAACAAACCATACATGCTCACAGCTGGGCAATGCTTTCTAACATTTCCTACTCTAGTTCACTTAAGGAAGCAACCGAAGGCTGACATCTGACGCCTCAGTGGAGGTTTACAGCCCACCCCGTGAAAGCGGACGGAGACGGGGCGGTGGGGGAGGGGAGACGCCTGCTGTCAGGACGGGGCAGCGGTGTTTGACGATGAACAGGGGGCAGAGGAAAGTGGCCACTGGATCTGGCCACATGACTCGCTGGTAGCAAAACTGAGAGTGGTTCCGGAAGCCACGGGGACAGGGCTCAGAATGCAGCTGGGGCAGAGGAGCAGAAGGGGCGGCAGGGGCCCCAGGGGGCGGGGGAAGTGTGAGACTGTCTTTCCACTTTGTCCGTGTGGCTTTATCGCTGAAAAAAATTAAATCTAGCAATAATACACAGATTGTAACAACATGACCCTCCTGAGAAGATAACAACAGTGCTTCCCTGGTGGGGGGGGGGGGCGGGGGGGGGGAGTCTGAAGAGGAAAGAAGGTGGGACACACCGCCACTGCAGGCCAGGGAGGTGAGCCAACCAGGCTCGCAGGCCCCCAAGCAGAAATGGAGTCGGGCCTCCTGCACGTTTGAGGGAGAGGAGAAAAAGGCCAGCCATTCAAAGAGGCTCAAAGACCAACTACCTTCCCTGTTCTGACCACCGACTGCCCACCTTCTGACCCAAGGGGATCATAAACAAACAGCACCAACTACTGCTGTCTGCTGGGCCCTGGGTGAAAATCTGTCCAAGAAGCTCCGTGGGGTCAGGCCTCCTGGACCTGGTAGGATAAAGCTCACCTAACTTGGATCAGGAGAGAAAGTGATCACCAAAGGACTGTCAGCGAGAGGCCGACACGATCAGATGAGCAGTTCAAAAATATGGCTCTGGTGATGACGAAGGGAATGATCTGTGGGCAACAAGAGTGGAAGCGGGAGCCCTGAGGGGAGCTGGGGCAGCTTGGACTAGCCAGGTTCACAGCCTGGGTGGAGAGAAACTTACAGATCCAAGGTCTGGTTCAAAGGAAAACCACCAAGAGTTGTGAGTGGGACATGGGGTGAGGGGAGAAGAGTGACGAGGTGACTTCCTGCTTCTGGCCTGCCCAGAAAGGATGGACTGAAAGAGAATGTGGGTTCAGTTTTGGACCTGGTGAGACACCCTGGGAGACAGGGAGCAGCTGGGGTTAGTTCCACTGGCTGGAAGAGCTGCAGATCCCTGGCCTCCAGGAGAAACGAAGGACCAGCTTTGGACCAGGTGGTCTGGGAAGAGTGGGGAGGGATAGGGCGTCAGGCCTGGGGATTTCAAGTACGTAAGACAAGAGGAGAGGGACTTCCCTAGTGGTCCAGTGGCTAAGACCCTACATTCCCCATGCAGAGGGCCTAGGTTTGATCCCTGGTCACATGTCACAACTAAAGATCCTGTGTGCCACAAGTAAGACCCGGTGCAGCCAAAGAAATAAATACTGAGTGGGGGAAAAAAGACAATAGGAGAACGAGCCCAGAAAGAAAGCAAGGAAGGGATGGAGTAAAGGGAGGGCTTTCGCTTGGTGCCCCTGAGTCCCGGCCCCTTGGGAGGGCTTTCGCTTGGTGCCCCTGAGTCCCGGCCCCTTGGCTGCTAAGAAGTCAAGGTGAAACAAGAACTGAAAATACATTTCGGTTCAGCGTCACAGAGAGCCTAGTGACCCAACAGTTTCAATCCCAGTATAGACAGAGGTCTGGACGCAAAGGCCCAGGAGATTGAAGAGGGAACATCAGCTACATCCCCCCCGGACAGCTGCTCAGTCAGGGTCTCCCCTGAGAGCATACAGTCCAGACCCTCCAGTCTTTGGAGCTGGGCCCAGGAAGAAGATCCATGGAAACTCGAGAAAGATGTCAATACTTTTATTCCATTATAATCTCAGCTCTCTTAAATTCCTGTTTCTTGATCATTTTAATAGTTAGTATTGCTGCTCTTCTTCAGTTGCTAAGTTGTGTCCGACTCTTTGCGACCCCATGGACCCCATGGACCCCAGGGACACCAGGCTTCCCTGTCCTTCACTATCTCCCGGAGTGTGCTCAAACACATGTCCATTGAGTCAGTGATGCCATCCAACCATCTCATCCTCTGTCTTCCCCTTCTCCTCTTCCCTCAAACTTTTCCAGCATCAGGGTCTTTTTCTAATAAGTCAGTTCTTCGCATCAGGTGGCCAAAGTATTGGGGCTTCAGCTTCAGCATCAGTCCTTCCAATGAATATTCAGGACTGATTTCCTTTAGGATTGACTGGTTTGATCTCCTTGCTGTCCAAGGGACTCCCAAGAGTCTTCTCCAACACCACAGTTCAAGAGCATCAATTCTTTGGTGCTCAGCCTTCTTCATGGTCCAACTCTTACATTCATACACAACTACTGGAAAAACCATAGCTTGACTAGACGGACCTTCGTTGGCAAAGTGATGTCTCTGCTTTTTAATACACTGTCTAGGTTGGTCATAGCTTTTCTTCCAACGAGCAAGCCCCTTTTAATTTCACAGCTGCAGTCACCATCCACAGTGATTTTGGAGCCCAAGAAAATGAAATCTGACACTTGCCACTTTTCCCCCATCTATTTGTCATAAAGTAATGGGACTGGATGCCATAAAGTAATGGGACTGGGTGCCATAATCTTCGCTTTTTGAATATTGAGTTTTAAGCCACTTTTTTCACAATAAGAGACAATAAGAGAGGGATTTCCCTGGTAGTCCAGTGGCTAAGACTAACTTACAATGCAGAGGGCCCAGGTTTAATCTCTGGTCAGGGAGCTAGATTTCACATGCCACAGCTAAAGATCCTGCATGCCACAGTAAGTGCACAAAGAACAAAACCAGTTTATTCACACGCACGCAGGTACTTCTTTGGTCCACAGCGTGTGTGCGCGTGCACACTGCACACACACCTCCGCACACTGGGAGAGAGGGCTGCACAACAGTCACTCCCTGCAGTGTGGGGGTCACGACACTGGGCTCCCCACCTCTGAGTCTCAGGGCCAGGTGCTCCTGACCTGAAGCTCCTCTGAGCACACACACTGCTGGGAGTGAGACCTCACGGTTCAGAAGCAGCCTCTGGAGCCGGGCACCACAGCGAGAGGGATTCCCTGGTGGCCTCCACCTGCGGTGCAGAGGGAAAAACACTCCCGCCTGCCCAGGGACGGGCAGCCCCTGAGAGCCCTGGGCAACGACAGGGTCAGGGCAGCACGGACGCCAGGCTGCCTCCACGTCGGAACATCACGCACGCCGGCCACCCAAGCTGCCTCCTCGCAGCCCAAGCGCCGTTCAGCTCCCTACAGCCCTCCTGACACCCTCGGCAGGAGCTGGGAAGACGGGCTCTTCGCGGCCTCTTCCTGAGGTGGCTCCCAGCACCCGGAGCCCCTCCTCTGGGACACAACCAGGACTCAGGGACAGAAGGGGCACAGCCAGAGCGGGGCCGAGGTGCGGACACCCCGTGCCCCCTTCCTGCTGCACAGGGACCCTTGTCCACCCAGCGCTGCCCTGCCCACCACCAGCTCACACCTCACACCGGACGCAGGGTGGGCTGAATTACTTACTTGAAATTCACTGTCTTTCTGAGCTTGTTCGGATCCCTCCTTATTACAGGACCGCTACGAACGAGAAAAAGCAAACACTTCCGGTGAAATGGGGAACGCTGAGCAGGCACTCACTCAACAACCATCAGAACAGTCAGGGTGTACAAGACATCACAGATCTTTAAACGAGGGTTTCTTGCACAGTCTAAATGCACCACCAGAGTCCCACACTCGGACCAACACCTGAGGAAGTGCCTCACGGCTTTAGGAGAAAAGGGAGGCGCTGTGGGGTCCACACAGCCGCCACCTCACCACCACCCTGGTACCTTTTACAATTTCATCGTTGGAGGAAAGTCAGCGGAGGGAGCTTTCCCGTGGGCGCCCGGCCGGCTCACCAGTTTAGCCAGGTGGGTCTTTCGAGGCAGCAGCGGCCCAGGAAGACACTGTCCCACACGGCCAGGGGGCACGAGGCCCGTGGCCACCGACGGTCAGCACTGGGTGGACAAGGGTGCCCCGTGCGGGGAGGGCTGCTGGTCGGGCCGCCACTAGCTCAGCGTGGAGTCTTCTCCACCCAAGAGAGGCCCGAGCCAATTTAATACAGGCCCGAAACTTACTTTATCTGTTAACATATTGAGAGAGACTTCTACACCCCTTTCCTCAATGAAATTGCAAGTGAGCGGTAACCAGGAGTCTGTCAGGAACGCACCCGGAGTCTGACCTTCCACAAGCCACTGTCTGCCCGCATCGGCCCCTCACAGCAGATCTGAGCCCTTAAAAGCAACCCCCACCCAAGTGCTTTAAAACCTTCACACGGTGTTTAATCGGGAGACAGGGGGAAGCAAGGGAGAAACATACGTGTCCTGTCAAAGTTTATACTCAAATATTGCCCCTAGAAAAATGTTATTTGTTTAATTTATTAAACTAAGTCTGCTTAAGTCAGACACGGAGGCCCATAAAGGAAGCTCTTACAGAAATTTAAGGTAAAAGATTCTTGAACATCCCATGAAAAACATACCTTTCCATTCCACAGCTTTATCAAAAATACCTGTACCAAGGGTAGAAAGTGTGGACAGGAAAAAAAAAATGCCACGTTAAGCACCACCAGCTACTCTAGCACCATTCAAAACACCTAGCCATACAGAGCGACCACTCCCATCCATCAACACGGAAATAATCTCCCACAGACATTTTAATGTATGTTCTGTACAAACAGTATATGTTCCAGCTTACTCAATATAAAAAGTAAACAAAACAATGTTCATATGAAGTTATCTGCAAAGACTTGCACTTATACGTACTTGGTAATATCTTTAGCTTACAGTAAGTGCACTCTGTACAAAGTGCAGCAAGCACAAATGGGGAATATATGCGATTTTCTTTTGTGTAATCTGCACTTCTCTGATGGAAAGATGTTACAGGTTAAATCCCGTTACAATGAAACCTACAAAATGAAAATACTAGAGAGACAGTTTTTTACTCTTGCTGATGGCTTGACGCGGGGCGGGACAAACCCTAGGGAGGAGGAGTAGGTACTCACTCCTTCCCTAAGTGCAAAACGCCCTCCTGACTGCAGCGTGGCCTCAGCCCTACACTCCAGCGTCCCCTCCCCAGTGGCCCACAAATTCCTAATGAACACGGTCTCCACCTTTTCTTTATTGTTGGTCTTTCCCAACAAATCCTGGTGCTCACAACACTTTGTGGATGGCAGGACTAAATAAACACTCCTGCGCCATGAAGCTCAAGGAGCGACCAAGGGCGATGGAGCCTGGCGAGGGGAGACCCAGGTCTGTGACCCCAGAAGTGGGGAGACGGGCTACAGCATTAGGTAGGATACCCAGGGGGCCACAATGCCCCCCAAAGATTAAATTCTTGTGCTTTCTCTCCCCAAAGGACACTAAGAACAGAACAAGTTCTATGATCTGATATTCTACATATTGTTACTTCATAGGAAGAGACAAATAAGGAATTTGGAGACACCACTGAGGTCTGCAGTAACGGGATTTGACCTGTACATACTTCTAGACAACTGTGGTTATTTCTATGCTGTTATTACTTGAACTGTATCTTCTTAGGGAGATACAGTTAAGGGGTTATTGAGCCAACACAAGTCCCTCTCCCTTGCCTAATGGTGCTTTCAACAAGAGCCAGTCACCTCATCTGAGTTACCAATTGTCTTAGTTCCCAAGGCCATTTCTTTTTAACAAAGTAGCGTCATTAGGTAGAAGTAAGTTCTATGAATACTTTCGCCATCTGCCCGCTCCATTCTGCCCGCTGTGAATCACTACCCACCCCCCCATCATAGCACCATCAGGAAGGCAAGACGGACTTCTGTCACACCCAGCCCTCTGTTCCGTTTCCTCAGTACAGAATGCTCAGGGTCCCTCGATCTTGCAGGTAAGAAGAGCAGGAAATCAAAACTCAAGCAGGCTAAATATTCACAGAAAAGTGAGGGAAGTGGCCTCCCGCAGAGAGAGCTACCGAAAAAGAGGCCTTTCTGCCCAGGGAGAAAGGAAGTAAAACTTAACTTGGAATCTCTGGGATTTTATTTCAGAGGCACAGACTTAATCAAAGCAGATATTAAAATACAATATACAGATATTTAACATGCCTCTGAGTTTTTCACCAACTAGCTTGTACATTAATAAAAATTAGCTTTCATTAAGTTATAAAATAAAGGTGAGTTTTAACATTTATTAGAAATATGGACACTAACTCATTATTTAATATTAAATAATTGTTTTAAAATTTTTATTTTTGACACTATTGTGGTCATGTGTTTAAAATCAGCTTACATGAGTACAGACTGAAACCTGCATGCAAGAAATACTATGAAATCTGGAAGAACCCTAGAGAACAAGTGAGGGTAAAGACAAAAGAAAGCTGGGCAGAGACACAGACGAATATTGGGCACCTGGGGTTCGCTACGCTCTTCTGGTCTACTTCTATATGCATCTGAAATTCTCCATAATAAAATGTTTTTTAAAATAAACACTGAAACCTAAGAAGTCAGAATGCACCAGATATGCTAAAGAATACACCCAACTCTAGGAATAAAACTAAAAACTCCTGAATTGTACACTTAAATAAGTGAATTGTATGCTACAAAGAGAGAAGATATCCAATGATAAAAAAAATACACTGTCACCGGTTTCCTGCCGTCTTTCTTGTTCTTTTCTTCCTAGTTTGGGCTTGGTTTTCAAGAGAATCTACAAGTATTCATTATAATCTAAGTATTCATCAGCGCTGCTGTAGGAAACAGGCTAATGGGACAGTAATAAAAAAGGGGGTGTGGTTTACATTTTGTTTTAAAGTCATAGAAGAATTTAAAAGCTGAAACAGAATTTTGGTTGGCCAAGCACCTCTAAATTTAAAACCTAAATTCCTAAACGCCTAAACACTATTGGCTAGGTAATAAGATGAGACCATACTGGACTGTGACTTTTCACTTTACATACACCTATACTTAGAAAGTATTTAAAGGTATGCTATTTCTACAGGAAATATATTTGGTACAAGGTGTTACTCTTCTGATGAAATTGCATTTAAAGGATTTCATACTTTAAAGACTGTGAAGAAAGTAAGTAACCTAATATTCCACACTATAACAGCGTTATTTCTTTACGTTTTTTTAAGCCAAATAAACTCTCATTGCTCGGGCAGTTGTTAATAAATGATTCTGCTAATGATGAGGGAACTAGTTTAATGATTACACTACTTTAATAAAGCCACATTTGCTGGATGAACAAAAGCAGCATCTGGATTTTCCCTGGTCTGTGTATGTGTGGCTGTGTGTGTAAATAGAGGGGCATACAGCTACTTCAATATCATGTGTAAAATCTGAAACATTTATCTTCACAGTGCATTTAAAGACCCACTATTGCATTAGCTGCTTGTGGTGTAGGTTGGGGAAAATTGCTGAACCAACTGAGAAAGAAGAGTAACACGTAATCACTAGTATACTAAGCTGGAAATCCTGTTTAAAATCAAATCATCAATTACAGATAATGTCAGAAGGAGGAGGTCGTACCATGTTAAACATGATGGTGGCTACAGAGATAAAAAGATACAAACGGGAATCTACACACAATAAGGGCAAGGATCATTCACCTATTGTCTCTTTTAAAGGCTCGTATAAAACAAAAGATTAAGTTGGCTGCAGCCTTTTAATAAAAGAGCTTTGGGATCCATAAATGAGTAATTAAGAAAGAATAAGCCAAATGTTAGCTAGACTCGGCTTCCAGGGCATCTAAGACTCAGTCTGGGAAAAGCTTCCCTCTCTCCACTAACCAGAGGGTCTCCTGCTGAGCTGCACCCCGAGGGACTCCGGGCTACCAGGGTTCACCCTGGGCTTCCTGCCCGCCTGCCTGTGGTTTTGAAGGTGACTCAGCGGAGAGAAGAGGTTCTCAATGTCGGGGCTACACCTGTTGCCACCCCTGTTAGCCAAGGTGGCAGGAATGCACAGCAGGGATGGGGCTCTTCAGTAACCTTTTGCAGTATGTTTTCTCCTCAATATCATGGACCCTAACCTTCCTGCTTCCTGATTTCTATGAAAACATTCTGTACTTATTGCTCTTACGGCCTCTTCCACCATTTTCTGAAAATATTTTACAGAACACATTAAAATGTGAGGTGACAATGAAGTGACCTAAAGTATAGCTTGTGTGATTATCTAGTGAACACATAGGGATAGTGAGAACTGAAATCGATAAAGATTTCCAACATTTCACTGGAGTCTCTACAGTGTGTTCCTTCTACTCCAGGACCTATCTAAAACAGTCTGATCCCACTGAACTCTGCAAAACCAGATGATGTGACAAATATGGAGAGGAGAGTAGAACTTCTAAAAGGCTCCAGGCAGACGTGAACTAGGAGGAAGACAGGTGAGTGCAAGGCCAGGTGAAGAAGGTGGCTTTCCGAAGGTGACTTTCTCAAACCTGAGGTCTGATCCCAAGTGACCTGCTGCCCCAGGGCTCTGACGGCTTTGGGTTCCTCCAGCACGAGCACCCCAAGGTTGACTTGCAGGCAGCACGTTCCCAGGAACAGATCCTGTGTGTCCTCCCACGTCAGAGCAGCAC